GTTCTCTACTTTCCTCGATGTTGCAATGAGCAGAATCTGAGTTCGGGATACCTTTAGAATGGGGAGAGGTGGAGGGGAAGGGGGAACAAACTCTGAACTCCAAGAGTTACCTAAGATTACTAGAATTTCCTTACCAGAATGTGTGAATTAATAAATGATGACATTCTGCTTCATTAGAAAACTGCTGTACAATGAAATGGTATTTACAGCCGTCTCCAAGCGCTGGCAGCTTGCTGCAAGGGCTAGGCTCCCCTTCACTCAACGATTTCTCGCCGACAATATCAGCTTCGCAGCGAATGTCACCAATAAGCCCGATGTGGATAAAGGTAACTCAGATAGAGTAATAGACAAATTATTCAATTGCGATTTGTTCACTAACTTTAGAGTGCGCCGATACTTGTAAGTCCGCGCTCGGGAGATTCTGCGTTTGCGTTTCCGCAAGGGAAGTCCATCTCTGCACTGGACCAGACATTGAATAACTTACAGGATCGGAACGAGCAAAATAACTCTAAGTAGTCTAGTCATTTTATAATCAAAATAACTATTTTAACATATTTTACACTTAGAATGAACGCCGTTGGCCGAAGTCAAAAGTTTGTGCTGATGCCTACTCCTGCGCAGCGAGGCGTGGCGAAAGGTCTGTTAAACCAGCTCCTAAACACATCAACTCACTCCTACTAGAAGAGTTTATTAAGGACAAAAGCGTGCACTGAGCGCGTCGGGAGCAGAAGAAGATTCGAATTCCACGAAAGATGCTGTCTCAAAAGGCAGCGAAAATAAGACTAACACCGTGAAAAAATTCTTCAAGCGTACCGACGAAACTATGGACAGGTATAAAGCTTGTTACAATTAAACACTTAAAAGCGATACAAAAAGTGATTTAATTGAAGAGTGTTGGATCAAGTCGATTTTCAAAATAAGTTTGCGAAGCTCCCGGAATTCACTGTTGATCAACTAAAGGTATTCCAGAGCATAGTCGCCTTAGATTTACTACTTCTAACGAATGTACAGTTCTGTTCAGAGTGGTTCACCAGGAAGTCTGCCGCCTACACCGTCGAAGTTGATCCGTAACTTAATGGAGAAAGTCCGCTACTCACCTGGAAATCCCCCTCTCGTCACGAACGCTTGTAGTGACATCTTTTTTGGTCCAGCTTTCAATAGTGCTTCTCCTGACCTAGTGAGAAATTCGACCTTATTTCAATGATATTATCAAAGCTAAAAAAAATTTCCTTATTTACCTTCATCATAGACATCCACAGAGGACATCATACCATGCAGCCCTCTAGACGAGAAAAGCGCCAGTAAGAAATTGCTCGAACAGCGACGACTTCTAGTATGCCATTTATTGGAGAGCGCTGGACTTTTTCCATCATGTAAGTGGATGAAATTGGATTAAAGTTGTTATTTAACTTTTTGTACTAATGACTACTATTAAAGCACAAGAAACGAATGCTTTTCAATTGATGCACAGTAAAGTGTTTCCGAGCAAGCAAAGCCTAATACTGAAAATACGTGAAGTTCGCCAGAAAATCATGAATGCGGTCAAAAATGTTGACTCTTCAGGTTTGTTCTTAAAATTTTTACACAGAAAATTCTGACTACACACGTGTTCAATTCTCCGATTTGTTGTTAAGCCATAGTAGGTAAACCAGAAGCCAACAATCATTGTAGGCGAGCAG